CTCGAAAGTGCAAGGTCCTGATTTCAATCCTGGGTACAAAAAAAAAAAAGAACAGAAAGAAAAATGGAAAAACAAAATGTGTTATATACATACAACAAAAGTATTCTTCAGTCATTAAAAAAATGAATAATATTCTGGTAATACAATGCTATGGGTTAACCTTGAAGATACTATGCAAAACAAATTATGTAAGCAAGACTCAAAGCTCAAATATCATATGGGGCTACTTACATGGAATATTTAGAACAGGCAAATTCAGAGACAGAAAGCAAATGAAAGGTTATCAAGGACCAGAAGGAGAGGAATAAAGAGTTATTTTTTCTTTAGGCTCATCAAGAAATTGCCCCCCTCCTCCAAATTACTGCTTAGCAGTCTGAGAGTTTGGAGTGATCTAAGTTTTGAAAGGAAATACGTATGGTTCCACAATATTGTGAATGTGATTAATGCCATTGAATCCTACCTTTAAAAATGGTTAGGTAGGTGGCCTGCCTTGCAAGCGCAAGGACCCAAGTCCAATCCCCAAACAAAAAACAAATAAAAATGGTTAGGTAGAACCTATACCAGGGTGGCACATCCCTATAATCCTAGCACTTGAGAGGCTGAGGGAGGAGGATCTCAAGCATGTTCAAGGCCATTCTAAACTATGTAGCAGACCATGATGTGCATGTGCCCTGAAGGCTGAATCCAGGTCATCACCTAGGGCTACAATCCAGCCTTTTAAATTTTTCTATAGATTTGACTCTGGTGTGAATAATCTGCAATAATACATAAGATCCTAATAAGATTACTGACATTTAGAAGTGGGAAGAAAGGAGCTAAAGGTGTAGGGAAGGTGGGATGGGTAGGGGAAGGGTAATAAGGGAAAAGAAAAAATGTGAGAGAATGAAAAGATGGAAATAAAGTGGTTGTAGATGGGGAGGAGAGGAGGGGGTGAAGGGAGGGCAGAGGTAAGGGGAAAAAATGAGAATCAAGACTTGTCATGTAGAGGTACAAGATCCCAACAATGAATGTAACTGTACTATATACCTAAAATGTACCAATACACTCAAAGCTGAAAAAAATATTAATACATTTTTCTATAGATTTGAAAGTTTTCAAAATAAAAGATGGAGAAAGGAGACATTTCTTAAGATCTTTCAATCAAGAATTGTAGGAGTAAAAAAAAAAAAGTTCTAGGAGTACCTGATACATAGTAGATAATTATATATATATTTTAAATCCTTCAGCAGTTAAGACTAAAAGATTAGAGCTGTTTTCCCTGGCAGTCCTTTAAAATATCTGAAGAAGGAGAATATGAGGGCCAGGGATTTAACTCAGTGGTTCTGCCGCCTGCCCCAAATGTGCAAGTACAAGGACCCCAGTTTGATCCCCAGTATCAAAAAAAGAAAGAAAGAAAAAAAAAAGAAGACAAATATGGGGTTCAAGTGAGGATTACCAGAACACTAGCTAAAAGTGAAGCTAAATCCCTAGAAGGTTTGATATGAATTATGAAGGTACAGTTTAATAAGTGATTAGGGTTAGCAGTAACAATTAAAGGAAAAGGTAGGATGAATGAGAGGTGACTATTAATTTTACAGTGCTTGTGATTAATATCATGAATGCTACCCAAGTGCTCTACCACTGAGCTATATCCCCACCTTTTTAATTATTTTTTCATTCTGAGACTTGGTCTTATTAAATTTCCAGGTTTTCCTCAACTTTATAATCCTCCTGCCTGAGCCTCCTGCGTAGCTGGGATTACAGCCAATGCACCACCATTCAGCCTTGCTAACTTTTAAAATGTTGCTAAATTGTTATTTGTTAATATTTTCCTAGTGAGTTTCTCATCTATATTCAGCAGAGATACTGTAGCTTTTATTAGAGAAAGAGAGGGGAAGGGGACATGGGTAAGGAAATCCCCAAGATGATAAAAGATTGTGATCCTAGAACAATTCACTGCTGCAGGCCTAGACAGCAAAGGGTTTAGGCCAGAGCCTATCAGAAGGCTCCGGAAAAGAGATCTACAAAATAAAGTAAGTAATACAATAGCCTTATGTGTCTGAATATATGAGGAGGATATTTAAATAACTATGGGGAGATGGAATAGAAAACTAGGTAAAGGAAAAAATTTATACCTATTAATATTAGTGAAAATATTAAGTTGCACAGGAAAGAAAATATAATGATAATGTACTACATGGCTCAGTAATGAATACCATTTACTAGAATACTATTAATAGCAAATATTGACTATTACTGTTTATTCACAAAATATTATTCTTTGTCTATTCACAGAGCATTATTCTGTTTATGCACAGCATATTCTATGAAGGCAACCTTGTGAGGGCAGAAGGCATTTTTGGATGAAAAAGAAAGCTAAACAAACCCTCTTTCTGAATAGTAGGAAGTTATGTGATGAAAGAACTTTAAATGAGCAGCTCTAAAGAACAGGAAATCTGAGGACTGTTATGAGTAGGAAGAACTACTCTTTTCATTACAAGAATCAACACATTTTAATTGTTTTAATGCATGCATGTACAACTTATAATTAAACATTAGACTACAATCAAGTACAGACACAGTGTTGTAGAAAGAACCATTCTGTCTGTTCTCCCCATCCCTCCCTTTCTCTGACATCTTAAACTAGGAGAGAAAATGCACATACATAAAACACAACAGGACCCAGGATCTGAAAGGAAGACTGGTAATAAACAAGGCTGGAGATCCAGACAACTTGTTTTTTGGGAATAACAGAGGCTATACAATCAATGGTATATATTAGGACAATCGGGAAAATTTAACTATAAACTAGATGTAAAAATAGCATCATGTGTCAAGCATGATGGCGCATGCCTATAATCCCAGCGCCCAGGAGGCTAAGGCAGAAGGATTACTGCAAGTTCCAGGTCAGCCTGGGTTACACAGTGAGTTCAAGGGCAGCCTGAACTGCATAGCCAGGCCCTGTCTCAAAAGAAAAAATTATCATGTTACATAGAAAAAGAGTATTTAAAATACATACATATATATATTTTTATATATTTTAAAGAGATATAAATCCAGTCATGAAATGTCACAATTTACACAATGTAGTTTATTCTTAAATAATTTAGTCAACTATTGCAGAATTATTAAATCTGGATGATGAATATATGAGCATATTTCTATTTTTCAGTAATGAAAGTTAAGAAAAGCTTATTTTATAAAGACCCATACATGAAGTAGAGTTCAATCTCTGTGACTATTTTTAAATGAAGATTAAGAAAACTAGGAATATTTTATAGTTATCTTACCATATCCTGCCATAGAAGCACCATTCTCGACATCCACTGTGTTCTTATTTTCCTCTGCAAGAGCTTTAACGTATCTTTTGCTTAAATCTAGTATTTGTTCACGTAACTTGACACTGCTTTGATGTCTTGGTTGCTGGAAAGTATAGTGCAGTAACAACACTCCCCAAATGAGTCCAAACACAAGCAATAATAAACTCAACTTCTGGGACATATTTTTTCTTGAGATTGTAAAAAACATTTCTGATGAAGTAAACAAACTTGATTGTAAAGCAGTAACTGGAGACAAGCTTCCAAATAAAATTTTTGAAGGAAAAAAGAAAAAACTTCTCTAATATATATTCCTCATCTTCAGTAACTCTTACATTAACTGTAAAATTGAAAAGAAAAAGGGTAATTAGTCCTAACTTGTATTGGTAACAATAATGATAAAAAAGAGACTCTATAGTTTTGATTTGTAATTATAGTATCTTCCTTGACAATTTTCTCCACTACTAGGTAACGATTTGGTCTTTTACCAGTTCCATCTATGTAACTTCTCAAAATTTAACTACAGAAATGAATGTCAATTGATTGAAAATATCTGAAAAAAATCCCACCATGGTGATAAAACTGATTTCTTCTGTTTAACTAAAAGCACAGATATATAATAGATTTACAAAAGATCTCAGTCTGTTCAAATGTCACCAACCTAAACACCTAAAAGCTATTCCTATAAAACAAAAAGTGAATACCAAAATAAAAGTCAGAAATAAGGAAGGATAAAACAGATTAGAAAATCAAAACGCCTAAAAAGAATTTTCACAAGGCAAGTAAAGTACCAACATGTGAAACTGTCACCAGAAGACATTACTAACAGAAATGAGGTGGGCCAGCAGCGATTTAGATCTGGTTCCGCCGCCTGCCTTGCAATCGCAAAGACCCGAGTTTGATCCCTGGTACCAAAAAAAAAAAAGAGAGAGAAAGAAATGAGGTAACCCTAGAAAATATCCTAAGATGAAAAATAAGTTACTGTTTTTAAGTTAATATCTTATAAAATGATAGTAGATATAACAGTGATTGTTTACTGACAAGTCTTAAAACAGGTTAAGATATTTTTCTGTATTTCCAAATTTACAATTCTATATTTTAAAAGCATTTTGTTAAAGCTGGGAAAAAAAAGCATTTTGTATAATATAAGGAAAAGATTTAAAGATTTTACTTCAACATTGTGTGTGCACATGTATATGCGTATGTGTGTGGTGCTAGGCATTAAACCTAGGGCCTCCTGAATGCTAGGCAAGCTCTCCACCACTGAGTTATAACCCTAGCCCTTGAAAGTAATGTTTAATATTATACAAAATATCAAAATACAAAAAAACATACAAAGATTCTCTACTAGATTACAGATTAGAGCATGGGGAAAGGGGGAATTTTCAGCCCTGCCAATTCACCTGTCCTGCTCAGAAAACTGCCAGTCTTCTACCTGGTTACTACCCCCCAGTCCCTGATACACCTTTAATTAAATTCTGGGGCTCCAAGGTTTTAATATCTATCCATTTTGGTTGAAATGTGCTATCCTGTGAAATCTCACCACAAGCATGACTATACCACTAATGAGTATGTTACTGTAGAAAACAATTAAGTGTACTGAAAATTAGGAATTAACTCCTTTTCAAATTCCTTATTTCTTAACATTCACAGAACAAGATCCCCTTGGATCTTACTTTACAATACCATTAATATCAATACTGAATTATTAAGCTTTGCTTTATTAGCAAGCAAAATGAGGTAACATCTTTTCTAGAGATTTTTACATTTGAGTTCAGAGAGCAGAGGTTACAGATTACCCAGCAAAAAGTTTTCTAACGCATTACATATTTACACTGAATTTATCCTTCATAAATCTTTCCTAGATCTTCTTTGTCTTCAAACATAACTAGCATGTTACACTTGTACATTGCTCCTATCCTAGCACTCAGTAGAAGGATCGACTGGGAACCTGTCCTGAAGCAATCACAACAGAATTGGCTCTAAAGTGGCATGACTACAAATTCAGAAAAGTGGTATCAGTAAGAAAGGAGAACACAGCCTTTAGATATTTTTGGTAAATGTAAGTTAAAATATTGGGGGGGCACACAAGTACAGAGAGGGTATTTGAGTTAAATGTCACCTTATATTAATGAAACTCATTTTATCCTCACAACACCAACATTAATATATTCTCACTTCTAGGTATCTTCCTGAAAGAGTTAAAGACATCATATTATGGTAATATATACATACTCATGTTTATAGAAGCACAACTCACAGCTAAATCTTGGAAGTTGTCTATAGGTCCATCATCAGATGAATGGAAAAGAGTATGTGGCATTTACTCACAGTGGAGTACTACTCTGCTATAAAGGATACATTTGAGTCATGTGAAGGAAAATGGATACACCTTGAGACCATATCAGTAAGTGAAATACATCAGACACATAAACTTAAATATCGCTGTTTTTTTTACAAGAATTTCAAAGTATAATTTGTTTTTTTATCTTGAGTTTATTGATACTTTTAAAGTATGCAGTACAGTTACATTCATCATTGGGATCTTGTACCCTTACATGACAGATCTTGGTTCTCATTTCTTCCCATTACCCCTGACCTCCCTTCACCTCCTCCACTCTCCCCTATTTACAAAGACTTTGTTTCCATTTTTTCCTTTTCTCATATTTTTTTTTGTCCTTTATTTCCTTTCCCCTACCCTTCCCACTTCCCCTATACCTTTAAGCCCTTTTCTTCCTATTTCACATTATCAGTTATACAATTTGGATCTTATTTACACTTTTAGGTTTTCACACCAGAGAGACTATTCAGTATTTACATGTGTCTTCTTTATTTCACTTAAGAGTATGGCCTCAATATGCATTCATTTTCCTATGAATGACTCTAGTTTCTCATTTTTTATGGCTGAGTAGTACTCCATTTTATAGAAAAACCACATCTCCTTTATCCAGTCTCCAACTGATGGGTAAATGGGCTGTTTCCAAGTTTTAGCTATTACAAACTGTGCCACTATAAACATGGGTACACATATATCACTGTGGTATGATTCTTTTAATTCTTTTGGAAAGACACCCAGCAGAGGGATGGTTGCAAAGTATAAATAATTTAAAGCACAAATAAAAGACAATATAGGAAACAAAGACAGATCTTTGGCAAATGGGAAAGGAAGCTAGTGATAGAAGGAAAGGAGGGGATGGAAAAATAAAGATAATTAAAATATGTTATATAGCCAGGCGTGGTGGTGCACACCTGTAATCCCAGCACTTGGGAGGCTGAATTAGGAGGATCACCCATGAGTTCGAGGCCAGCCTGTGCTACATAGTGAATTCAAGGCCAGCCTGAACTACAAATACAAAGGGAGACCTTGCCTCAAAACACAAAAACAACAACAAAAAAAGATGTTATTACATGTACTGACTCCCCACAACGATTATGATCATTAAATACTACAAACATGTTATAATAAAATAATTTAAATGTTGGCAAGAAACAAGAAATTAAAACTCTTCTGCACTTCTGGTGAGATTGTAAAATTAAGCAGCTACTGTGGAAAAACGTATGGCAGCCCCTCAAAAACTAAGAGTTAGGACTAGGAGCGTAGCTCAGGAAAATTAGTGCTTAGCATGCATAAGACTGGCTTCAATCCCCAGTACATATAATGCAGAATTCCACTTCTGAGTATATACACAAAAGAACTGAAAGCAGGGACTAAAGGAACATTTGTACATCAATGCACATTTCAGCATTATTTACAATAGTTAAAAAGGTGGAGATAACCCAAGTGTCCATCAACAGATTAATGAATAAATAAAATGTGATATATAACTGGGCATGGTTATACACTCTTGTACCCAGCCGCTCGGGAGGCTAAAGCATAAGGATCAAAAACTAGAGACCAGTTCCAGCAACTTAGCAAGAGGCTATCTCAAAATAAAAAATTAAAAAATATATGGGAATAACTCAGTAGCACAGCATCCCTTAGCAAAGCATCTCTGGGTCTGATCACCAGTACCACCAAAAAAAACCCACACAAACACAAACAGCATTCTGCACTAGGCATGTGGCACACACCCGTAACTCCAGTACTCAGGAGGCTGAAGCAGTAGGAATGCAAATTCAAGCCCAGCCTGGGCTATTCAGGAAGACCTTGTCTCAAATATTTTTAAAAACTTTAAAAGGGGATGGGGCTGGAAATGTAGATTGGTGTGAAGGCCCTGGATTAAATCTCCAGCACTAAAAAGACAACAACATTCTCATTCTATCCCACCTCTAGCCTCAAGGTGTACTCCATCATTTTCCATATGAAATTACATATTCTATCTTTAATATTTTTCTGTGGTACTAGGAAGGGTATTGTACATTCTAGCCAAATGTTCTACTACTGAGCTATATTCCCAGCCCCTTTAGAATTTTAAGTAAACTGGGCATGGTGGCTCACGTCTGTAATCCCAGCACTCAGGAGGCTGAAGCAGGAGGATCGCTGGGAGCTTGAGACCAGCCTGGGCTACATAGTGAGTTCCAGGTCAGTCTCAACTACACAGTGAGACCCTGTCTCAAAAATAAAAAAAATATATACATATTAAGTAAATTATGTCCCTAAGGCCTGATGGCCTCACTTTTATAATGGGAATAACAATACTATCTAAAGCTGATAAAGATTAAGTGATACAGGAGGGCTGGGGCTATAACTCAGTGGTAGAGTGCTTAACATGCACAAGGCCCTAAGTAAGATCTCCATGGCTTCAAAAATAAATGCATAAATCCTCATACTGCTTAATGAGTATTAACTTTTACTATTTACATCAGGCTATGCAACAACATTGCTAGTGATCAAAATAAACCTTTCCTCCTTTTAAAAAAAAATGCTACTAGGACCAGAATTTAGCACAGTAGCACCACGCCTGCCTTGCAAGCACAAGGTCCTGAGTTTGATCCCTGGTACCAAAAAAAAAAGCTATTAATTCTTAATAATCTGAGCAATGTGAGTTAACACAGGGGATGTACTAACAGACCCAAATAAAACTCTTCTGATTAACTTTCATGAGCTAAATTTCTACTCAGAATTTTCATGAAAGGCTCTCAAATTAAATGTTTGAAAAGATGAGATAACAGCATACTGTTGATGAGAACAGTTCATCTTCCAATCAGCCTAAAAGGAAACAATATACCTGTTTAAATGCTACAACAGCTAGAAGGATCTTAAAGCCTCATTGTTTTATTTAGCCCACAAAGATCTTCTAATCCTCATAGCACATCATTTTGTACCAACTGGTTTTACACAAAGTATTTTCCAATCGTGTGTGGAGACCTGTTTCCTAATTGTCTCTGGTCCCTTAAAAGCAAG